TCAAGCGCAGACGCGCTGTCACTTCGGCCATCAGAACTTCCGATAACGAAGTGCAGATTAAGCTGAATATTTTACACACGGCGACACGGCGTTTTATTTGGCACTGGCGCTAATCGGAACACGGCGTTGCAAATAGGCACTTCCTAGTTAATAATAGGTTAGTTTAGTCATGCAACCACATGCGATTAATTAAACGTAGGACGCAAACTATTTTTAGGTAAGGCGGCCATTTTGTGTGATGTCAGACCAGAACACCCCTCCGATCATGTGACTAATGTAAATATAGCCAACGGGATGGCACGTCGCTTTGGTGCGACGTTTTTCCAGGAATACCGGTAATGTGATATGATGCGGTGCTCCGATGATGAATAGTCTCCTTTATACGGTAGATCTAATCTAGAGGAAACGTTCAAAGAATGAATTCAATAGACGCAGTGAACCGGAAAATTAGGAAGCTCAAACCCGTCAATGTCTCATTGAAGGAAATTGTTAACATTCGTACGGTGTCAATACTGAAATTCCGAAATGTTATACATATCGGAAACACGTCATATGTTGGTACCTCCACGGCCTTCTTAAAATAGTCTGTGGGTAGATCTATCCCAGGTGACATCACATTACTAAAATTAGCAGCCAATCAGAAAGATGCGTCTTCTACGTTGAACGGCATGTCATGCAACCTGCCATCCATATATATACAGCAAAAACTTGGGCGATTTTGACTATTTTATGTAGTTTCATTCGTTAAATAAGTCTAAAGCTGAAAGCCAGAGACCCTGAATTGCCAGGTAACCGTTGAGGAGAAATTCAAAATTCAAGCAAAGAATGATGGCCCTTTTTCGGCAGTTCCCACTCCCCAATTATTATTCGTCGGCTTGCCCCCCTGACCTAATTTCATATGGGGGGTTCACATGCCCCCCTGAATTTTACCACAATTCGATGTTTTGCAGTTAGGTTGCATCCCTGTTCTTTGTGTTGCCTTGGTCATCAATACTTGCGGATTTCTTCTCTGGATGTAAACAAATGGGTAGTGGACTTTAACGAACGGAACCTCAAGATCACCGAAACTTGACCAGGACGGAAACTTGTCTCTAAATCTAGATCTATAGGCCAACTGTCATTTTATGTCAGTATCTCCCCGGACCTCTCCGCCGCCCCCCCCCCTCAGCCAAGGACATGTGACTAAACGTAGAACGACGCACCTGCCTGATTGGCGTACCCACATGGCACATAGAGGCCTACTATTTTTAGAAGGCCGTGAAGATACCCAAGATCGTGTAGTAGAGAATCTTTGGAGATACCGCATGGAACGACATGCTAGGGTCAGTGGCTTGACGTATTATCCATATCGATGTTTCGCACTGTAAAATATCACACTAGCGGCTAACTGCAGCCCGTCAGCCATGCTTTACTGATTGGTTTCGAGGTTTCCAGTAGCCTATATATATATGATATATCCATGCTAATAACATTTTGGAATTCCGGTAGTGAATCGTAATGATTGAAATTGAAACACGGTAAATGCAAAGACAATAAAGCGCGTGAAAATTGCTGTGAAGAAGCCGGAAGATAACCCCCACCCCACCCCGGACACGATAAACAATGTGCAGAAGAGATAAGCAGCAGCATCATCGAAGCACCGCATCATCAGAGCACCGCATCATATCACATTACCGGTATTCCTGGAAGAACATCGCACCAAAGTGGCGTGCTATCGAAGAGTCTCTACACGATCTTTTGTGCCATTCGGTTCGCTATATTTAGATGTAGTCATGTGATCAGAGGGGTATCCTAGTCTGATGTCACACAAGATGGCCGCCTTACCTTAAAATAATTTGCGTCGTTCTATGTTTAGCAGACCTGCCACTCATCCCGATTAAGTCGGGACATCCCGATTTTTTGCCCCAAATTTCAAGCATCCCAATTTTCCTGATTTCGATCGCGTGTATCCCGATTTTTTGTCCCAGTCCGCTGTGATGCCGGATTTTTCTAAAAACTTACTCTGCCTTTTCCTTTATCGCGGGAAACACACGTTGAACTTTTTGTCAGTAGGAACTCTGAGCACTATTTCCCGAAATATCGATGCCGCATTTAGTAGTTGACTCGCCCCAAGTTGTGTGTGATCTTTGCCCGTACTCAGAATTCTCCGATGATAGCCTGGTAACTGTTACAGTTCTGGACATACAAAAATCGATAATATTCGTAGTTCCGCTTTTACTTTCAAAACAAGCCTTGTCCGAGGTCTGGTAACTGCGCGTTCACATCAAACATTCGGACGAGCGACAGTCTTTCTAACCCTTACACAACTAACATGTAACTGCGCTGACAAGACTAATATAAGGCCGTTGTCGTTACTTAAGTCTGAACACATTATGAGGGATAAGAGATTTGTTGGTACATTTGGTCGGTCGGCCGCCGTTGTTATCCTAGAGTACTAGAAGTAGAACGACTGTCGCTCATCTGAGAGTTTTGTCTGAACGCGCAGTTAGTCGGACCTGTTAGTAAAATTGTTTCAACCGCGCATTCGCATCACGTGACATGACATTGCTGTGTGAGTTCTGCGTGTCGGGGACCGTCTGTTGACGGGGTCAACTTAAGTTCATGTATTTCGGGACTTATTGGGGGGGGGGGGGGGTATAGACACTTGGACTAGGAGTGCTTGACGTGATTCTTCAGGATTTACAAAAAATAATAACTCACACGCACGCGCGCACACACATACACACACACACACGCTAACAAAGACACACAGAGGGCATATAGGCCAAGTAATTTATGGACACCCCTGGAAAAATTTTAAGTCAGCTTTGGCAGTCACCTCGGTGATTTGCTGTTGATTCTGATTTTTTTCGCCAAATCCCGATTTTTTTCACCCTGAGATCCTAATTTTGAGGTTTCATAGAGTGGCAGGTCTGGTTTGGTCGCATGTCAGCCAGGGGGTACTTTTTGCAGTTTTATGGTAGAGATCTAAGTGACTAACATTATTTTAAAAATGGGTTAAAAGATAAAAGGGGTTGACTGTTGGAGTCTAACTCCTAACCAGTATTTAGGTTTCTAAATTATTTGAATCATATTTTTGTAGGCCTAATTATAAATTATAAGCATGAAACTGAACTCCCATCTGGAAAGCTAAGACAGATTAAAAAAAAACCTGAGGTTGATGATTGTCCGCTGACCCCACTGGATGTGCCCCTTTCCCTTTTGGCTTCTTTGGCTTTGGACAGATTATATGTTTAGGGTTTTACTTCTCTCTTTTTATGCAGTAATTAACTTACAATTGCTCAGTAGATTTTAGTGTGTTTCCTCTAATTCAAGATTATAATTGTGGCTCTATTTGTGACTCCTCTGATTTCATAACCAAAATCCTCTCTCAGACAGGACAGTAACATTGGTTTTTCTTGTTCTGTCTCCAGATGATTTCTGTCCTGATGATGACTTGGTGTCTCAAACTCAGAATCCTCCAAAATCGAAAAGATCACTCCAGTTTGAAAGTCCCAGGGCCGGAGGAAAAAATCAAGATGAACTGATCAGTAAATCTCAAAATCGTCATGCAGAGGAGGTAGACGATGTTCACCTGGACCTGTCCCCACCATCACCCCAGCCATTGGTCATCAATAGCGATGATCACAGTCATGGGAATGAAAGAACCACCAATAGAAAGAGACAACCCAGCGAGGATGACTGGTTTGAGGAAGAGACTGATGTGTCATTATTTGAACTGGCTCAAGTCTGTGAGTGTGATTCAAATTAACTGCATGCTGTGTTTATCATTTTAGGTCAGCTGTCTTTTGCTTGAAAGAGATAAGAAATAGGTTCTTATGTTCTTGTTTTCTTTTACCGTTGTTTCATATATATATGTACACGGTGATCCAAAAAAAACTTTACAACCCTTTTTCTGAATATCTCGCGCAAAAATTGTTCTAGAATGCTGTAATTTGGAACAGACATAATTCATTCAAGGGGAAGTTGTTTGATATAAAATCCACGAAGAAGAAACATGTTTTGAAAACGGAAACGGCTAAAAAAAAAAATTTACCTAATAACGCAAAATTCACCAATGTTTAAAAATCTTGTAAAGGAAGTCGTGAAAAGATGAGTTGACCTTTTTCTTTATTTTCTTTTTGACATTAATTTTCCATCCCTGTGACATTTAAACAATATTGAAATTCTTTTACAGAGTTTAAAAACCCTAATGATTTCATTCTAAAATTCCTAGAAGCAGTGCTCCACATTCCCTCCTTTGGACTCGACACATTTTTAATGCGTCGTTCGAAATGTTCAGTGACGCCCTAGCACAAGGACCTGCTAAACCTTGAGTTTTTAAAGCCACATACACTGTACATGTTCACTAAGAAGTGGCTTCTAGAGACAATAGAGTGGGATGCCCAATAGACAGCATTTTTGGAATGAACATATCCCGCAGTGTGAAAATGGGCTTTGCACTAAACCAATAAATGTCATCGAGGAAATGATCCCTCTTTACAAGACAATCGAGGAATCATGAACACATTGCCAAACTCTGATCCATGTCATCTCGGCCTAGCGAAGATGAACATGGTATAGTCTTAGGTTAAGATCTGCCATGAGAATGCAGACTGTTGATGTGTAGGAAAGTCCTAGCTGCAGATCATCCACGAACAGACGTCTCATGGGACTCAGCTACTGAAATCTGCACTCTGGTGACATTTAAAGGGCTGCGCATGGTGCGTGTTCAACCTGAAGTGGTCATGTTTTTAAAGAACTTTTTAGATCTGATTCGGTATAGATCCAAACTGACGGAACTTCTCTACTCATGACGCGAAAGGTCTTGAGGGCACCTAAGCATTCTCTCCATGCCATGCGCAGAACTTATGGAATGTCAGGGATGGTGAGTTTTTGGAGAGGTAATGTTCAATACAAAAAACTCTCTGCTCTTTACTAAACGTAACCATGATCTAAGCAGGCGAACAAAATGTGGGAAAAATAATATCTGCAGACTTCTGTTGACTTGTTAGACTGCTGTAGCTTGCAATATGGCGCGATTGTTGCAACTTTTAGTGGTAGGCCTAATGCAAACTTGTGCGTCATGCTATGAAAATGGCGACACGGTTGAAAATGGGTTGTTTTTTTTTTAATGCGCTATATAGAGCAAAACCATTCAATGGACTTATCTAAAATACATATCAGACAAATTCATTTTGGCTTCTAAATGTGTTCAAATCTGAAACGCAAAACTTCAATTTGGAGGAAGATATTTAAAAAGCAAGTTGTAAAGTTTTTTTTTGGATCACCCTGTTTTTTTAGATATATGTGTATATATATAAACGGCGCACCGGCAGTGGAATTTTAGTTGCCGCGGGGGGTTCCCCGCCAGGCGCCTTATCACGTCGGGGTCACGGGGGTCAGCTCCCTGTCGCCGCTCTGTCTGGGCCGACCTAATTTTTGGTACTTTTCAACGTACAATTTAAGGTGTATCCTTGTATTTATGGTAATTCTCATTTAGTGCATCAAAAGCACGCATTTCTGCTCTTGAGACTCAAAAAAGAACGGACGTTGTAACTCGTCTGGTTATTTCGTTAGACGCGCTGGAGTCGGCAATGCTAAATTGTAATTTTTTTTTGGACTAGCGTGAATGAAAAAAAATCAATATAAAAAAAAGGCATCGTCAAAATCTGTCAAACTTTTGGAACATGAACAACATAACATTGGTGCAGGTACTCAGAAAAGATGGTATCTGCGCTTATAATAGAAGGCTGTAATTTTACAATTTGTGCGTATGATGTGAACATTTTGTTCCAGATACTTTATAATATTTCTGGGCAAGTCAGATTTAAAGTCAAAATTTTCATATGAAGTTTATAATATGACTTGTTGAGGATGACTTGTGTTTAATTTTTCTGACTCCTTTAGCTTCATCAAGAAAGAAACAGAGGCTTACTGCTGACCAAGAGGTGGGTCTTGATGAGCCAGATTCCCACACTATTCGGCTGATTGAGCAGATCCAACAACATAGAATGAAGAGTCACACTCATGTGGAAGATAGTGACGATGCTGGGAAAGGACACCAAATCCGGTTCAATGATGGTATGTCAACTCAACGGATGATGTGAAATGACTCTTTGGTTTTACCTGCACTTACTTTCAAGTTGATTTTGAAAGGTGGGGTTAGGGTGTCTTTTGCTGCTTGAAAATGGATGTCATGATCCTCATGTAATGTAAGTGTTGAAATTGTCTTGTCTTCTTACATTTGTCTGGTAAATAGAAAAGTTATGACCCCTTGTCGATATGATTATGATCCAGTGCTGTATTGTTTTGTTTTCAATAAGCCAGTTTTGTTTTTACGTGTTCTGCTTGTGAACCCCACAAGGGACGATGTCAAGTGCGATTCATCAGTCAAATTTTAAAAAGTAGATTAGATATGATAACAGTGTTAGCATGATGTTAGAATGTAAGAAGAATTAATTATATTTGTCCTCACTAAATAATGTGAAGAGATATGAACTTTGACTTTGTGTTGTAAAGGACCTTTGACACTCATCCACTAAAAATGCGATATATAGATAGAATCCCTTTTTTCTTTTAAAGTTTTTTAAAGTGTATGGAACATGATTTTTTTTTTACCTTTAGAATTTCTTGTAGAATATTCTATTTGAAAGAGAAATGACATGTTTGTTGGTTTGATAGATGTGTTTTACTGTTCTGTCGGATGGGTGGATTTTTGTCTTTCTGTCAGCTGAGGACATGGAACGGCCACGAGTCAGTAAGCGTATCCCTAAAGAAGATTTTGTGAGCACTGTTGGCTATGGTGGAGAGAGAGTCTACATGAAGCTGTGGGCGGAAGATGTGCTGGAGGCAGAGGTAAGGGAAAGTTTGAGGTTTGGAAACTAATGGTCAATTCCTTAGAAAGGTCTGCCCCCGACTTTTCAAAAGTAGAACGCTATAGGCAAATAGATCCTCAGCAGATTGCAGGGAAGTATATTTTAAAATGTTTGTTTTGAACAGGCTTTCTTTGAGTTGTTTTGTTGCCTTGAAGGTGGCACCATGAAAGTGTTTTCGCAGAAGCCAAGTTAGCATTCTTGATTTAGACTAACAGGTGGAACCAGAATATGACATGCAATCCCATGTTGGCTAAAATAGTTGCATGCTTAAACAAGGAATTAAGATGAAGTTATTACTATACATTGATTATAAAACATACTATTGAAACAGCCTCCAAGACATAACCACATTGTCTGCACTGTTTTTATTTAATTTTTGATTCCCTTGTTTGAATGCAGTTAATTTAGATTGTGATTTTAATTTCTGTTAATTGAATAATGTGTTCTTTTCCTCCCACAGTACTTGAGCCTGGGAGAAGAGTCGCGGTCAAGTGGGCTTCTAACTGTGCCAGTCTGTGTTATGAAAGAGAAGATGGAGGAGGAAGTGAGTGGAGTGGGAGGGAGAGAGAAGGTGTGAGAGAGAAAGAGGAAGGGGAAAGAATGAGGGCAGTGATTGGAGGTAGAGAGGGATGGTGAGTGAAAGATGTATGTAAAGGAAAGTTTGAGAAAATGGGTGAGGAGAGAGATATTTATGCCGAGAGAGAAGATATGAAGAGAGGTGAATGAGCTGTGGAAACAGAAAGAAGAATACTCTAAGAATACTGTACATGCTCAGTTTTGGGGATTGGTGTAATGACATGATGAGCAGTGCAGGGTAAATGTGACTCACAGCAGAAGCAGCTTGAATTTCCCCAAATTGCATGTTGCTCAAATTTAAGCAATTTTTATCTTCAGGAAGTAGATATTACCCTTTGTACTAAATGGAGTGGGCTTTGTTTTAGTATGCCTTGCTTAGTTATCCTAGAATATTGATGGAGTGTACAGAGCTTTGAAAGCAAGTGTTCTCAGACAATTGGAACATGGAGTTGTCTTCAAAGTTTAAAGTATGTTGTTTTCTGTATGTAGTGATCTTTTGTAATTTTCATCAAAATATTTTTTCCCCACTTTTGTTTGTTTTGACTAACTGGTCCTTCTTTCCACTGTATTACAGAAGTCTCGTCGAGCCTTTCAGGAGTCTGTTGATCTGTCTGCGAGCATTGAGAGGTGAGTGCTGTTTCAACTTTATTTTAATTGCTTATTCGCATTCATAATGGGAATCTTGCTGCATTGGCTGTGAATGTGACTTTTGAACTGGTAAAAGCTTAACTTTTGGGTCTTTGGTTCTGTTTTAGCATGGGGAAGAAAAGGTTTGACTTGTACGAATGATCACCAAGTTGAAAAAGCAGCAACTTATTTGATTTGTCTGACAATGACTTGCGGTTATATAGGTATTTATAAGTGCACTTATCTTAGAATGGGCTCATTTTTATCTGAGAACATTTCCAGTAAATGAACATGATTTATCCATAAAAAATCCCCCAAAACTACTGAATGATCAATGTGCTGTGTTTGTGCCCTATGCTTTATTTTGTGGAGTCTGCTGTTTAAAAGGTTATGTTGCATTCCCCAATTCTTTGTCTGATATTGAGATTATGCACGTCGTCTTGTTTACAAGAGATGACGGTTGATTCCCATTTGGTAAATATGTTTAAAAAAAATGTATTTCCGTTTTTTACATACTTCAAGTCAGGTCTGATTGTCTGTGTTGATGCGTACCAAATGATCTACATTGTCTTATATTATGGCGCAGAATATTTAGAGCTGACATATTGACATCTCCTGCTTAGGCCTAGTAGGTTGTGGAGTAATAGATAGATGCACTGAATTCCAGCTGGATGTATTATGACAAAGCTTGTTGTATCATCTCTGCCTTCTTTCCTTCCTTCCTTCCACTGTTTTCTTTCCTCTAGCCACTTATCCTGCCATGCGATCGCAGCAAAATTGGTTCCCACATCAACATACATTTCTTCCTGTTCCGTCATCATTTTAAGTGAGGTAAAGGTAATTTCTGTCATCTGTCTCTTTTGCTGCTATCACCCCACATAGCGCCACAGAGCTTGCTGTCTTTCTTTATCTCTACTAAGTTGTATTACCTCCTGCAGGTGGTCTGCCTGTTTCCTTTCTGCCCTCTACTTTGCCTTGGAGAAGTGTCATCGTCAGATTTGTTTGGTGGTTGGTGGGCGCTCTGGTGGGGTTTACTCCTTCTGTCCTATCAAACATCTATTGTAATAATCTTTCCTTCTTTTTTTTTTTTTCCAAATTACTCTCTCAGACCTGCCACTCATCCCGATTTAGTCGGGATATCCCGATTTTTTGCCGTAAATCTCAATCCTCCCGATTTTCCCGATTTTCCCGATTTCGATCGCGTGTATCCCGATTTTTTGTCCCAGTCTGCTGTTGTGCCGGATCTTTCTAAAAACTTACTCTGCCTTCTCCTTTATCGCTAGAAGCACCCGTCGAACTTTTAGTCAGTAGGAACTCGGAGTACTATTTCCCGAAATATCGATGCCGCATTTAGTAGTTGACTCGCCCCAAGTTGTGTGTGATCTTTTCCCGCACTCAGAATTCTCCAATGATAGCCTGGTAACTATTACAATTTGGAACATTTAATAATCGATAATATTCGTAGTTCCGCTGTTACTTTCAAAACAAGCCTTGTCCGAGGTCTGGTAACTGCGCGTTCACATCAAACACTCGAACAAGCGACAGTCTTTCTGCGCTGACAAGACTAACATACGGCCGTTGTCGTTGCTTTAGTCTGAACACATGAGGGATAAGAGATTTGATGGTACATTTGGTCGGTCGGCTGCCGTCGTTATTCTAGAAGTAGAACGACTGTCGCTCATCCGAGTGTTTTTTGTGAACGTGCAGTTAGTCGGACCCGTTAGTATTGTTTCAATCGCGCATTTGCGTCACGAGACATATATTCGCCGTGTGAGTTCTGCGTGTCGGGGACCGTCCGTTGACGGGGTCAACTTAAGTTCATGTATTTTGGGACCTATTGGTAGGGGTGGGGGTATAGACACTTGGACTAGGAGTGCTTGACGTGATGCTTCAGGATTTACAAAAAAAATAATAACTCGCACGCACGCAGGCACGCACGCACGCACATGCACACACACACGCGCGCGCGCGCACACACACATACGCACGCACCGCACGCAAACAAAGACACACAGAGGGCATATAGGCCAAGGAATTTATGGACACCTCTGGAAAAATTTTAGGTCAGCTTTGGCAGTCATCTTGGTGATTTGCTGTTGATCCCGATTTTTTTAAACCAAATCCCGATTTTTTTTCCCTGAGATCCTGATTTTGAGGTTCCATAGAGTGGCAGATCTGCTCTCTAGAAGTAGCACTTCTCACCTTTGCACCTATGTGACCTATTGTAGGTGCAGTAAACTCACTGAAGTTGGTGGTTGCAGGTGCTCTGGTGTGGTTTGCTCCTTCTTTCCTATCAAACATCTATCGTCCTGATCTCTCCTCCGTCTTTTTTGTGTTTGTTACTCTCTTGTAACACCTCTAATCTTGGTCTCTTATATGAGCTTATTGTGTTGCAAGTGTCGTACAACTCTTTGTTCTGAGGTGAAGGACAAGAAAACTAATGAATATTCGTTTCTGTTATATCACAGACAACTGGATGATCCCATGGTTGAAGCAGAGCTGTCCACCACAGAGGACATCAGTAGTGCTACTGTTGCTGGGGATGTTGAAGAGTCTGACGGCATGCAGGAATTGACAGATGAAATGAGGTCACTCTGGGTGGAGAAGTATGCACCGAGGAAGTACACAGAGCTGCTTAGCGAAGAGGTTGGTTTTTTCCTGTTGATTTGTCTCGTACAAACACTGTTAGGTTAGCATGAGTTCTCTTTCCCAGTACCTTTGACATGTTTGTTTGAGAGATGCATCTGAATGATTGCACAGCCATCATCATCTAGATAGTTTTTCTATTAGGTCTCCATTGAGTTTTTTAGTGTGTGTCCTTTACTCCCATGGAATGTTATTTAATAAACAATAAGTTGATTCACAAATAAGCAATTATTTATTTTTATGATGTGTTTTTCTGTAAATAGAACTTTACTTACCCACCTGAATTGTTCTATTGTTCTTTGGAGTAGAGTGCCCATTGGTCGTCGCGCTTGCCGCCGCGGCCCTCAGCCTGTTCTGTGACTTTCAGTTTCAATTGTTATTGCTTAAGTGGCAGTTTGCTGGTGCACACACACACACATGCACATACGCTCGCGCACACACACATACATACATACATACATATACCTGGCATTACTTTGGATTCTTCCTTTTCAGTCCATCAACAGAAGTCTGCTGCACTGGCTGAAGTTATGGGACTTTGTTGTGTTTGGCAAAGATGTGCCTAAACCCCAGAAGACGAAGAATTTTAAGAAGGATAAAGAAAAAGACCAGAAGAAATTTAAGAAGTTCCAGGCAGAAGTAGAGGAAAACTTGGATGCACACAACAGGCCACAGCAAATGGCATGTTTTTTTTCGGTTGTTTGGTTTTTCTTTGTTCTTTAAGGGTTTCTACCTTTTTGTGCGTTTGTGTCTTTTTTTTCTGTGGTCTTGATGGTGCTTGAGACAGTTTTAGTGATGCTTTATTTTAGAAATGAATAGTGAAGCACTGAATTAGACTGTCACTGAGACATAGTAGTTCTTGTGGAGAATCTGGATTTTATATTACACTATGCGCTGAACAGTTCATAGTGTTCTGTGAAAACATTTTGTTTTAGTTAATGCCCGTCTTACTGTCTAGAAAATATCAGTTGAAGACTTATTTGTATGTGGATGTCATTTTTTGATATTTTGAAAATAGATTTAGACCCTTCAAAAATCCATTTTTTTAGTACAAGTTTTTAACAATGGATAATGCTGTGCTAGTCAGACCTTTTGCCTTAACCCTTTGAGCCCTAACCTCCTGAGGCTACCATGCCCCTTTGCCTGAGCTCTTGAGCGATACATTACAAACATTCATGTGATCGTCAGAATCATATTTCATACCCCACTCAGGGTAGTCCTTGTCATTACCAGCATCTAATTCAGAAAGAGTTTCAAAATAATCAATAAAGTCTTGTATAGTAAACGGTGTTTTCCGTACGAGTTTTTCTCAGAGGAGCCGCTTTGGGGATGCTAGGCATACGGGCAGTTTTACGCACCACCGGTGTACCAGTGGCAAGGGCTCAAAAGGTTAAAGAGGTAATTTTCTTAAAAGGTGGGTACAACTCTCAGAGCAATCTCAAGACATCCACAAAGCTTTTTTAACACAGGATTTGGATTTTTAAAAAAGTAGTAGTTGTATTAGTGTTGCTGATTAGTGATGTGTTTGTTGTGATGCTTTCATGGGTAATGGGAGTGTGTAATTGATGTGTGTATATCTTTTGTCGTTCAATTAAGTTTTGCATTCAACTCATATAATGTGTTTTAGATATTGCTTAGTATGAGGGACGTCCAGAAAGTAAGTACCGTTTTAGAATAATTTAAAAAGAAATAATTTTCCCAATCAAAACGATTTATTTTTGATTTCCTCATATAAATGACTACTTCTCCAAGTAGTCATCAGAACTGTTGAGGCATTTTTCGTAGCGTGGGACGAGCTTCTGAATGCCCTCATCGTAGAAAGCTGCTGCCTGCGATGTCAGCCAATGTCCAGTCTCTCCTGTAAGATCAGCATCTGAGTCGAAGTCCTGCCTGACCAAAAACTTTTTCAAATGCAAGAAAAGATGAAAGTCACTCGGAGCCAGGTCTGGGCTCTACGATGGGTGCTTTAACTGTTCCCATCCGCAGGAGGCGATCGGGTTTTGGGTCTGTGCAGACTTGTGAGGAGTTGCATTGTCGTGAAGCAGAACGCAGTCACTAAGCGTTCTGCGTCTGGTTTGAATCGCTCTTCGCAGTTTTTTAAGTGTGTTGCAGTGCACATCAGAGTTAATTGTCATCCCATTTCCCCAAAATTCTACTAAAAACTTCTTGCCTGTCCAAAACGCTGTACACATGACTTTTTTTCCTGACGTGGCTTGCGCAGAGTGATTCAAACCAAAGATCCGGAATGCTTAGCGACGGCGCTGTTTTGCTACACGACAATGCAACTCCTCACAAGTCTGCACAGAGCCAAAACCTAATCGCCTCCTTCTGATGGGAACAGTTGAAGCACACATCGTACAGCCCAGACCTGGCTCCCCGTGACTTTCATCTGTTCCTGCATTTGAAAAAGTTTTTTGGTCAGGCAGGATGTCGACTCAGATGCTGATCTTACAGGAGAGACTGGACATTGGCTGACATCGCAGACAGCAGCTTTCTATGATGAGGGCATTCAGAAGCTCGTCCCACGCTTCGAAAAATACCTCAAAAGTTCTGGTGACTGTGGAGAAGTAGTCATATATATGAGGTATTCAAAAATAAATCGTTTTGATTGGGAAAATTATTTTTTTATAATTATTTTAAAACGGTACTTACTTTCTGAATGTCCCTCGTAGTAGCAGATTGAATTGTACTCACAAAATTATTGTTTGTAGAAGTGATATACAACTTTACTAATAGGCTGCTATGTTGTATGCTGGCGTGCCCCCTCTCCCCCCGCCCCCTAAGGACTGAGATTGTAGATTTGAAAGCACAAGCAGGTCAAGTGAGTTATTATAAATCTGTTTGTAAGCTTTATAGGGAGATGCATGGGTATGAATAAGTACTCTGTCTTTTAGCTTAAGATGAAAAACGTTTGTAAGTTTTGTTGTTTGTGCTTTGTTTTTTCATTTTTATGAGTCTCAGAATTATGTTCTGCTTTTCTCTAAGGTGGCACTTCTGTGTGGTCCGCCAGGTCTGGGCAAGACGACGTTGGCCCACATTGTGGCCAGGCATGCAGGATATAACGTTGTGGAGATGAATGCTAGGTAAGTCTCCAAGGCCTTTGGAGGCAAACCTAGCGAGTCAGAATTTTCTCAACAATGGACAAGACTTTAAAGTCAGGAGCTTTGCATTCTCACAATGGTTCAAATCAGCAGAATGTGTTAGGTTGTGTCTTTCCTTTTTTATATGATATACCGCTGTTGTTAGAGGTTTCAGTTGGAGGGGGCCATTGGTATGTCTTCTCTTCCTGCTTTTCGAGACCTATTTATGATCTCCGTTGTATCAATGCACTTCTCCAATTTGAGTTCAGGAGTATAATGCCCTGCTTTAATGTAGATGATTTTAAGGGCCCAGTGTTAAATGTAAAAAGATAAAGAAGGGAAGAGTGGGGATAAATATCACACAAACACACCTAAGCAGAGTCATTACAGAGATTTGTGCTCGTGTTTGTGTGCTGTCTTTTAAAAAATATTTTGATTTTTGTGTGCTCCCAATAGGTGGGCAAGGGGGTGGAGGGTCGTCTTTAAATTGACTAACTTTCCCTTTCCAGCTGAAGCTCTGACAAACAACAGTGTGTTACAAATTTGATTTCAGCATACATGCAGATTAATTATGTAAATTCTTGTCTCCAGTGCAGCATTCAGAGTCAAAGAATTTTGGATCAGTTTCTCCCTCAACTTAATGTGTTGTCTTGCTAATGTGAAATATTTTGTATGCAGATGCTCTTCTTTCTGTCTTTGTGCAGTGATGACCGCAGCGTGGACGTTTTCCGGAACAAACTGGAATCTGCGACACAGATGAAGTCAGTGACTGGGGCTGATCCCCGGCCTAACTGTTTGGTCATTGATGAGATTGATGGGGCTCCTTTGGTGAGAAAAGCCTTCTCCTTTATGTGTGTATGTGTGTGCTGG